TGTGGTAATTGCTTAAAGGGCTCATATCGTGGAAAACCAAATTTTCCTTTTATTTTTTTAAATAAAAGACTTTCATGTAAATGTTTCAAAATGTCTTGTTCACTCTCCAGTCATTCTCCAGCAAAAGATAATTAAAATGAATAGAAATCCTAAAATACAAGAAATAAGGCATTTCTTGGGCCCTTTAATGCATTTGGGCCCTTTAAAACCATACTGTGCTGGTTTTATTTAACTAGGTTGTAACTTTTTTTAGGATTGATAATGCAATATTAATCCATTAAGTAATCCTTACTACATGTGCTGCACTAATTTAAGCTTTTTACAGTTAAATAGGTGTAGAGGCCAACACTGTGAAAATATGGTTAATAAAAAGGCCAAATCAGTTTCCCTAGATATGCTGGAAAGGTAGGAAATAGATGAAAAGTCATCAGGGCAGTACATAGTGGAAATAACCTACAGAAATACTGGTTTAATGGCTTGCAATGCTTCTCTTTTTCAGGAAGGGAAGAAATTTGGGCAGGGAGCGCATCTGGTTGCTGGTGCCAGTGCCATGCTGAATTTGAATAATGTGGTTGAGAAAATTGCACGTTGCCATCTTCATTTAGAAGTGCTCCTGCCAGAGAGCACCATCACGCATAGAGAGAAAAACAAGACATCCGCTGGTGTTGGTTGCTGGCCGTCGATATTAAAATAGTGTGAAGTAGCAGGGACTCGCTCCAAAACAAGGCTGCTCACAGCCGGCCGTCTAACATGCTGAAAAGTAGCTGAAAGCAGCGTGATTGTTGCTGAAATGCGCCGCCAAGAAAAAAGAAAGCAGGGAAGTGTAGAAGCAGGAAAAATGGATGGCTTCCATGGAAACAGCGCAGGAAGTGTTTGATAATTCTGCACTTGCTAATGACTGACTAATAGTATGTAGGAAATATGTCAGCATCACTGTTTGTATTCATTTGTTAATTATGGTCTCTTTGGAAATAAAATGTTTTAAGATGAATTCCATAATTACTGCTTCTCAGATTAGAAACTGAGAAGTTCTTGGCTGTCTATCAACTCTGCCCTTGAGCTTTGTGATATGCTTGAAATTAATTTGCTTTTACAATCGTGTTGTAAGTGCTGTAAGTACACCAGCCCTTAGCAGCACTGCGTATCCGGTTGTAATAATTATACCAGCCAGTTTACTGTATCAAAATATCAGGGTCAGTTTTGAGTAAAAGCACAATTTTAATTGAAATAATCGCCACTTTGAGCATGAATTTGAAATGTTTCCGAAAGGTCTGAATTGGAATGAAGAAGAGTCCTGTTGGAAATCTGCCCCAGCAGCCACACCGCAAATGAACTCGGAGTGAGGCAGGGTAACACATTATTAATGGTTTGTCTTTATCTCATGGCCTGTAATTGGTCTCTGGTGATTGCCAAGTATTTTGATTAAGAAATGCCATTAAACTGATGTATTACGTCTGCAAGTCGGTTTATCCGTCAGATAGCTATTGTAATCAATTGATAATTACAAAAATGATTTATTGCTTGAGTTTGTGTTGACAGGTGAACAATAATTGCTAAATAGAGATTTCAGTGCAGCTTGGAGAGAGACTTTACAACTCATTTTAAGTTTTGATTCTTAGAACATAGATATTATATCCATTAAATAAATTAAATAAATGAAAACTGATGTGAGATTCAGCCAAAATGTTTATCTAATATTTTGGGAAAACAGGTTCTGGTTTTAAGAAACATAATCCTGTTTGCAGAAGTCTTGATTAAATTGAACAATAGAATGGCATGTTCATATTGTGCTTTGTTTTTCGGTATTATTCTTTCATAATTGAAGATAATCTACCGTACATTTTTCTTTATTAATTTCATCTTCTAGTGACTTGACAAAAAAAGTCTCATCCGCTGACAGTGTGCAATCTAACGCTTGGAGCGAGATAGAAACAGTGGAATTGTATAAGTGGAAACCAATGAGGGAGTAAATTATCTCGTGTGGAATAATAGGAAAACATCCCTCATTTCGTGACAAAGTAAACATTTTTGTCATTGTTATCACTGATCGGTCTGGAGCAGAGCGGAGAGTGTTTGCACAGAAACAAAACAGGTCATGTAGTGTGTGAAATAAGCAAACACGGAAAGGGATTTTTCTGGCCGGACTCAATCTGATGAGATTAACACTACCCTTCTGGTCCTCTAAAAGCATTTAGGACGGCGGTGATTGCATTGGGAATCTTATTATGTTTGTATTAGGTAGAAAAAGAAAAGATTATTGTTCTCTGTCTGTGCTGACTACATTTTTGAGATGTACTTGAATTTCTCTCATTCCACAGTTATTTTGCCAATGCGTTTTCCTTTTTTTTCCAGGGGCAGATGACATTTTGCAGTGTGTAGGTCCCTACTGCACAGACAATGACACGATATTTTGTTTTTTTCTGTTTTTGATGTAGGGGTATACATTTCCTAAAGGTTATACTGGCACCAATTGCATCTCCTCATATGCACTAGTACCTGGCAAATATAAATATTTTATGGCCAGTGCAGATGCTGATTGTAAGGAGCTAACATTACAATAACCAATAATATCAGCCGATATAATTTTTATTTTACAGTACCGTGCAAAGTCAGAGACTGCCCTTCATTTGTTTAATTTGCAATCAAAATGGCAATTAAGTACAAGTTTTTCATTTTTCAGAAGATATTTCTTAGGAGATTAAATAAAATATTACACACCTGCATGATGAAAGTGAAAGTCAAAATAAAATTAAATAAATAAATAAATAAAAAGGAAAAGATATAGAGACAATGAAACTCGTAACAACCATGTGAGACCTAGTAGACCACCAAAACTGTCACCATCAGATTACTTAAAGCTTTCATCTTAGAAAGACAGAACAAAATCAAACTCCACTCTTAAGGTCAGACTCTCATTACTGATTGGTTACTACCCCAATAGCACATTTCCACCATAAAGCATAATTGATGTTTTATTAGTGATGCCTGACTGATGGCTAACTGTCTCACTTTCACCAACTGAGGAGGCCAGAAGGGTAGCCATGTTTATTTCAGGGTGGCATTTGCGACCCCTTGGCGATGCCTCTGATCCCAGAGTCCAGACCTCAGCATCTCTGAATTCAATTACTTGGATTGTGAGAAGCAGAAAATGCAACCAGCTTCTAAGACTGAACTTTGTAGGTGTGGAAAAATCTCCCTGCAGAATACTTTGAAAAGCTGAAAGTCTCCTGAAAAGAATGGAAGTTGTTATAAAGGCAAAGCATGGGCACAAAATACTGAAAACATTGATATTCTATTTAGTTGTAAAGGCTTCTGTATATATATCATGTTAAATATATGTTTTCTGTGTTTTCCTAGTGCTAAAAACATTCACTGAAAATAATGCAGTACCACGTTTTGGTCTCTGACTTTTGCACAGTACTGTATTATATATTTTAATTTTATAGTCCAGTAGTCTTAGTTAAACAGTACTTTACTGACTGATATGATTGTCAATTCTCAGTTGTCACTTTTCTGAAATAAATTCATAGTTTTAAATAATAGAAGTATTGTAACACTGAGAGGCTATCCATAATTCTTTACTGTTCTTCTCTTTCTCATCACGTCTCTCTGTATCATGTTATTCTCATGCTAAAGGTGAGGTTTGGATACATTTTATGTTTCTTTGTTATACTAAGCTCAGGTGTTTTGTGTTTAAATTCACCAGTTCAGCCTGTATTGCTGTGTTATATAGTTAATACAGCATATATATATTGGTCAGGCACTTATATGCACAGCACCTTCAGTGTTGAATGGACTCAGGTAAGCTCTGTGAACATTCAGGTGAATACTCAACTTATCATAACAATATCAATATTCAGTAGGGGCAATTTTACTGTGAAATCTCCCTGAATAAACCTTTAGCACAAGAGTCTTGGGCAGTGAAGTACATCCCTCTACAAAGACATTTACTTGATTATCCTTGAGACTGACATTATGCTATATATATGTATACAAAGCAGTGGTCTGTCTGGAAATTCTTTTCATGGCAATGAGTAAAAAAGCAGTCCTCTCAGCTAGATATTGTGGCCTCATGACATCTTCTGAACACAATGCATTAGGTTAACACAGAGGCTTGTGCTGTGACTGACACGGAGCAGATTTGTGGAATAACAGCAGAGGCTTTGTTTACTCTGTACAAGAGTTCTCTTTGATGCAGCACCCCTCTCTACCAAACTACTGCAAACAGGAATGTTCTCAACCTTTATTGACAAAAAGGCATTTTGTAATTTACTGTCATTTATAATACTTTTTTAATGTATAAGTAGAGGTGGACAATATGAAAATTTATTATTATATTTATTTTTATGATACTTCTAAAAGTTTTCATGATGCACGATATGGCACAATGACCTATGATATAATATAATATAATATAAATACAATTAAACAGGAGTAATTATACTCTCTTTGTCAGACATGGAAAAGAATAAGGTGGAAAGTGTTTTTAATTTAACTGATATCTACAATACTCTCAGAAAATCATATTGTGCCATAATTTATCACAATAACGATGAATACTGTCATATTGCCTAGCCCTATGTATAAGCCTATTGATTGTCTGAGTGGTGTGCTGAATAAGCCTCCTTAAGGAAGCACAAGGCCAGTTGAAGTGTGGAGGAGTGAGGAGTAAAGGCGTCCATTTATAATAGAACAATACCAATACTGATGAAATAATATTGATTTTTAATCATTTAATTTAGTGTTATTGACAGAATAAAACATATTTACTTTGTGTTAATCTGTTTGCATGAAATTTTACTTTTCATCAAATTGATTATTTTATTTTACATCAAAATTAGCTGATGCTGTGATGCCAATAACATTATAACATTAAAAATGTTATAATTCTGAATTTTATCAATACTGTGCAGCACTAACTCAGGCTACTGTTGTGATCTATCTCTTTAGCTTCTTTTGCTCCCCCCTCAGTATTAATCCTGTTATTTTTGTCTTTACAGGAGCACCTGACTATACTCAAAAGATCTCATGAGATTGTGATGAACATCATCATCATCCACAGACCGAAGGTACTACTCTATTTGTCTGATTTTTTTTTTTTTCACAAGACCTACTTATACTCTACATAACTTTACACAGTTTAAAAGGGTGATTGTTTGCATTTTTCTGACTTTCTTCATTTTTGGTTTGGTTTTATGTTCCTTTTTAACCCTTAGAAGTCGCAGTTATGGTTGGGGATAGTAAATGCACGGTGTAGTTTTGTATTAATCATGTTTGAATCATAGGTCATTGAAACAAGCATTTAAATAGTACACCAACACAGCAGTAATAACTAGACTTTTAAAGGTTAATATTCTTATGTAGGTATGAACTATTTGTATTTTCTATACACTCAAGATTGAAGCCTAGTAAATGTCCTTGTAGTGACAAAGGGTGCATGTATTACCGTGCCTTTTTCCATTTTCAATCATACTTTTGTGTATAAGAAATTCATTTTTAATTTTAGTTTCCTTCAGTCGCTCTGACAGTGGAAAGAGAACACTTTGATTTATAGCTTAATATTGTTATCCGACATCCAATCCTTTCTTTTGACCCATGTTGGGATGTGTCTTCATGGATTTGCCAATCGGTCAACAAGTAAAATTCCATCACCTGGCAATTACAGGTTTTGTGCATGCAGCTCTAGATCTTCAAAAGGTCAGATTCCAAGCATAAAGGTCACTGGGAATGCCCCAAACCTCTCTGCTCCTGCATCCAGGCCAGGTTGAACAAAATTGATTTAATTGGGTTAGCCTGTTGTGAAGCCCGCCTAATAGGACATGTAGCTTTTTGATCCTGGGATTTGCAGTGACCATTCCCAACCTGCTTCTTGTGGGAGTCCAGGGATTTGGGTCAGTGGTCAGCATTTCGTGTGTTTGAAGCTGAAGCTCCAAAATGAATTTCAAGTTCTTTCTCCTAGGACATAGTACAACAGTCAATGTAATATAGTGTAAATATGGCTCATGATTAGGAACAAGTCATTAGTTTTATAAGGTATTTAAGGTAATAAAGCTAAAGACTGGGATGAAATGTGTACTTATCTGTTCTAAGTTGATTATACAAGAGTTATAAAAGCAAAGCATTTGAATGATTGCTTTTCAGCTATACATACTGAAATCTTACAAGTGCTGTACATATGTTTTTCATTAATCTATCCAAAGGCATTACTTTTACATAAGGTTATGTATGTATGTGTGATGAATAGTGTGTGCTTGTAGCATACATTCCTAACAATAAGGGCATATATGCCATCAATGATGCTTGACAGCTCTGCTGAATAGACCATAAGGTGTTGAGTAGATAGATATATGTACCACAGAAATATTGCTACCTTTGTGATTGTGCTGGGGCAATATACTGGTGTTGGTATTATACAGGAACACTTATTTTTAGTTATAGCCAATATGTTTTGTCCTACCTACATTTTTCCTCCAAATGAAGTCAAAATATGGATATTGCTACATGCAGGCCAACACTGCTGAGTAGCTGGTGTTGTTGTATGATAGTGGATCTACTTTGATGTGACCTTACTTCAATGGGCAAGACTATTATCTTGCTAAACAACTTCATAATTTAGAGGATCTGGTGACACTCAGGAGGAGAACGGGTTGTACTAAAGGACTCAACATGGCTCAATTTGGCACTGTTACAGGATGCCAATTTTCAAGTTAGTTTGTCAAATTTCTGCCTTGCTGGAGCTGCCCCAGTCAACTGTAAGTGCTGTTGTGAAGAGGTAATGTCTAAAAGCAAGAACATCTCAGCTCCATATCTATGGTTTTGGAAGGAGATATTCAGCATGCACATACGGATGTAGTGTCTGGGTGTCCACATACTTTTGGCCATGTAATGTATCATATGGTACCGTTATATATTTGTATAAAAAAATATCATCAGTACTTCCCAGCACTGCTTAATGAAAAAAATTATGGATTATGAGTTCTGGCCAAAATCAAAAAGGAAGGTGAAGATATTTATGGTAATAATAGTGGTATGTGGTATCATGACCTTCTGTGTCCCTCTTTTATGCATGATTTGCATAGTAATGATGATTCATTTTCATCTTATTTTCTCACTTTTTTAAAAATAACAATAGCTGTGGCTTAACACTGCTGTCCACCTACATCACCCATGCCTAAACACACAAACATACACACACACACATACACACACACACACACACATACACACACAAAGATTAAGACATCTCAGGCCTGGTTGGTTGTGGGTGGTGCGGTGTCATGGTTAGACCCCTGGGGGGCTTTCTCACAGCAGGGGTCACAGTAGCCCATCTCATGCAGGCCATTGAGCCTAATACGTGTGAACGAGCTGCATTCACAAGCCATCATGATCAAGTCCCACAGCCTGGTCCTGTTTAAGGGCCATTAGAGACTGTGCTTTAGTATAAACACCATCTGAGAGAGTATGAAGTGCAGAAATAATCCAGGCAGGCATCCAGCCCCTGAGCTAGCACTAAATAAAATTGCTTTTCGGTTATTATGCAGTGCTGGTAACATTGCATTTTCTCTTCAATTCTAGATGCAGTATGCATGACTCAGGTAACCAGTGGATAACACATACACTGTTTAACATTGTGCTAAGCATATAAAACAACTCCTTAAATATGTTGTCAATTTTCATGGCTTTTAAATATACAGTGTAGAGTATTTTACATAGTAGTGTAGAGCACAGTGGTTATATATGGGATATTTTAGATTCTAGAATGTTTCGATTAGCATGCTTAGACTTATTTACATTGGCACAGTGGCCAAAAAATGCTCATGTGAATTGGCTTAATAATATCATACCATTAGAATCCCATAGTGAGGTGCTAGCAGAAATAGCATGATCATTTTTTTTCCTTTGTTTTTTACCAAGTTTTAACATTTATGTCCGAACTGAAGGCCTAGCAGTCATGGTTTGCCACTGGTGTATAGGTGTCGTGTCCCAATAGCACTTAATAACTTATTTACTTAACCCATTAAAATCCCAAGTCTTATTACATAGTAAGTACTTGGGACTACAATGCAAACTGTCAAACTGGAGTTATTCTTGTGTGAAGGTGTGGCAGGTCTTGGTCATTTAAGGGCTTCAACCTTTCTGTAATAACGCACTGTAGATTCTGTACAAATTCTGTAAGGGTTTTCTGGCTGGGTTAATCTGAACACCTTTAAATGTGCATTACTGTGGGAAACCTGCATTTCTTAATGCACCCATGAGATGATTTGAACATATTAACATGATGTAAACCTTGACCAGGAGCATTTAGTGCTGAGTTGCACAGCCTTACTGAAACTAGAAACTCCCCACTGAAACTCCATACTGCAGAATCTAGACAGCTCTTTGATACTACTGAATAGCTGCAGAGAAGTATTAGCAATGTCAGTAACCTCTAGTCCCTTTGATGGCAAGAACATGCAGAAGAGGTTGTAGACAGATATTGTCACTGAAGTAGGATGTGTAGCAATACCTCAATCCAGACAGGGTGGAAGAGCAAAGAATGAAGCAGCCATAGCCTCATTCCAGTTCTGTGATGGAATGAAAATTTGTGGAGAAGTAAGCTCACATTGATGTGCTTGAGTGCCAGCTAGTTTTGCCTGCTAAAATGTGTGTTTAAAAGCCGGGGTCACACTTTATTTGGATGGTCCCCTATAGATGCTCTACAGATACATAAGTCATTAACAAACTTTCCGGTGATGTTCAGTTGATTATCATCAACATTGTGGTCAGGGTTAAGGTTAGGAGTAGATGTAGGTTTAGCCTTGAGGTTAAGGTTAGGGTTAGGAGTAGGGATAGATTTAATAAACTCTTTCACACTGAACTTGTAGTTCAGTTGCATTTAATAGATAATTAGTTGAATGTTACTCATAAACAGACTGAGCATTTACAAAGCATCTACAGTGAATCCTCCAAATAACACCCAACTTAAAGTTCAGTTGCATTTAATCGATATTTAGTTGAATGTTACTTAAAGATGTACTGAGCTTTTACAAAGCATCTACAGTGGACCATCCAAATAAAGTGTTACCAAAGCCGGGTTACGGTCACGCTTCCACAATATTTATGTAGTTTAAAAGTCCAGAAAAAAAAATAGTTTAAAAGTCCAGCATAAATCTCATTTAAGAACAGAACACTTTCCGTATTGAATATCTTGAATGTACTTGGCTAATACTAATAGCTAATAGATATACTTTTTTATCCTAAAGGAGCTAGGCTAATAGTAGTCCACAATGCTTGCAATTCAGAAGGAATTGTGATACCAGTGCAGACTATTTGGGTTTTTTATTGCATTGTGTATACATGGAAATGTTGTAGATTTGTTGATTTGGTAGAATATTCCTGTCATTTTGCTACGTCTTCTGTAAACTATCACAGAAAAACTGTCAAACTGCTGCAAATTTGATATTTGGGCCATTAGGCTCATTCTATCTATAGTGTTTATCTGCTCTAGTGCCCTTACTAGCAGCGCTGGTCTGCAAGCTGTGGGGATGCACTGGAAGGCGGAGACGGCGTTGATTGACAGGCCGGCTCAGAGGAGCTGTGAGGAGAAGGTTACCGTTTCCTCGCCAAATGTCACCGCATTCAGAAACTTTAGAAACAGTGTCACCTCCACTGACATTGATCGCTTAAGCTGGGCCCTCCGTCTCCTGTTTTATGGATGACCAAGTGAAAGAGCGTGGACTCTGTAGAACACAGGATCCCTATGGGCTGCTGCTTTTAGCATTGACAGAGATATCTCCTGGACTATGGGGAATTTAATACTGAGAGTATCTGTAGGCATACTGGATTGGTTTCGGTCAAAAGGTCAGTCAAATAATGCCTCTAGGGCTGAATTTGTTAGAAACATGACATACTTCACCTTTGCTTGTTTGTGTGTGCGCACTGATGAGCCCGTGGTATCATTGCATCAGTCAACAACAGCTGCAGTTACACGAGAGTACAGTCTATATGAGTTGACTGTTCAGCATTTGTCTTTGAATATTATTATTTGAGAATAATAGGATTAGCATCCATTTTACTTACATCGCTGCTG